CCCCCCTCTATCCCTCCCACTCCCTCACTCCGCTGGCCGATGGGCCGCGCCCCGAAAAAGCGAGCTTGAGCAGCTCGACTCGACGGTGCTCGTTGGATAGCATCAATTGCCAGAGGATAAAATGCCCGGCTAACTCTCCTTTGCGAAATCCCTTCCTTGGTACAGTACCCCTCCCTCTATCTCTCTCTCTCTCGCCCTCTCTCTCCCTCCCCCTCTCCTTCTCCCTCTCCCTCTCCCCCTCTCTTCCGCCACAACCCACGCCCCAACCCTATCCTCCTCTACCCCATATCTCGTGCTTTAATTAAAACTAGGGCGTCGCTGCTGCTCATGCGGCTCGACCGAATCCTTTCCAGATTATTTTATAAATGTCCGTCCCCTTCCTCCTCCCCTACGCAAAGTCCTACAGCGATGCTCGGTATACAGTATTGCAAAGGCATTCCTATGGAAAAAGCGCCACTGGCAAAAGCCAACCCAAAATATTGCAATTTTATTTTCATCGGGCTAAAAACCGAGATGCTAATAATGACAACTCTAATGACGTTGTTGCGGCTCGGCGCGCCCCGACACTGTCGGGCCGACAGGCGCCCCGCGGGCGAACCGTCAGTGCAGCGGCGGCGGCGGCGGCGGCAGCAGACGCCCCGCGACCCAAGCCAAACCAGATTCATTACGAATTCGCGCGACATTCCGCCGCGTTGGCGCCGCAACCGCAGGCTTCTCATTATGCCCTTCTAAATACAGGGCGACGGCGCCGCGCCCCCGCCGCGCCCCAAAGCGAACAAATGAGAAAACGCGCGCGGGGCTGCTGCGCAGGCTGCGCAGGCTGCGCAGGCTGCGCAACGGCGACGCCTAGTTAGCGCGTTCGGCACAAAACGAAACGGCGGCTGCTCTGGCCTGGCGACAGTGTGATTTCCGCGCGCCGAGGAAAGAGAAAGAGGAGGACGAAAGGGACGAAGAGAGGGGCGGAGAGAGGGGTGCGAGAAAGGAAGCCGAACTGCGCTTTTGCACCGCCGCTGCCGCTGCACCTCTGCACTGCACCGCGGAATGTTGCGGTTGGCTCAGTTGGTACTACGCCGCTCAGAGCAGGTCGCAGAAATCTGTACGCTGATCTTTAGTTTGGTGGTACTCGAAACAATCAAAAACATGTGCCGGTTGTTACCAGGGCGGACGCTCCAGTATCGCGGGATTGCCTCCCTCCATTCACCCGTCCCGTCGGACCCAGCGTAGGCGCCGGCCGTGATTGTCCTGAGGACATATTGCCTACTCCTTGCCTTGGGAGCCATAAGGCGCCACAAGGCGCCATGGTCCGATACGAATCGTGGGCTGCAAGATCAGTCCTGAGCCCTACAAAAGGAGGCCTATGTAGCTGTAACCCCCCAGTATAGTAGGCGCCCCCCGTATGACTCGATAGTGGGCAACCCTGTGAGAGCAAGAGGGGTTTTCGTTCCTTCCAGAAAGGGGGCGAAGCGAGCGAAGCTCTAGGGCAGACTTTTCTGGGCCAATTCCGGTCACCGCTACGGAATAGCTTATAGCAATAGACTAAAAGTTACTAGCAGTAGCAATTGCAAAAACTATGATCTATTACTTAACCTATCATCGCTATTGCCTATCGTTATATATATATATATATATAAGGACAGAAGGTCCTGGCTAGTTATTAGGCTTCGCGTGCGCTAAAGCGCAAAACGCGAAAGCCTCTAGCGCCGGTCGCTGTTCCTCGACAAGAATTACCTGCTCCCCAGCATCCCTCAGCAAGGAGACCCTCCCGCACCAAAAAAAAAAAGAAAAGGTTCGGGTCGGGGGCGGGGCAGGGGGCTGAGGGCTCCGGTCGGGGGGTGCCGCCCGGCTCGAGCTGTTGTCATCTGGTAGCGTAGCGGCAGACAATAGGGTAGTGAGTCGGTCGCTCTGACTGAAAGTGGCAATGACGTTCAAAGTTGGTCAAATATTGGTCCGATCGGTAAAATTCTTACAGTTTCGAAGTTTTTAGCTATTGTCCGTGGGACTGATACAATTTACTTATGGCAAAATTCGGTTGATAAAGTCTTGCCCTTACTGCAGAGCCGTAAGAAACATCAAAAATGTGCGAATTTATCCGGTTGGAATAATATCTTACTCACTTTGAACGACATGGCTACTCTCAGCACACTGCAAAATGCTTGCAAAGAACAGGTTCGTATTGCAAACTATTTTCTTTGCAGCTTGCAAAGAATTTTCAAGCATCGTAATACGAACTAGTTCTTCGCAAGCTTACAAACAATTTCTTTGCAATGCAAACACATTGTTTGCAAGGATTCAGCCAGCTTGCAAAGAACTTCTTTGCAATACGAACTAATTCTTTGCAATACAATGCTCACAAATTCTTTGCAACGTTGCAAAGAATATAGTTTGCAAGCATTTTACAGTGCAAGGAGACCCTCCCGCACAAAAAAAAAAAAAAAATGGGTCGGGTCGGGGGCGGTGCAGGGGATCGCCGCTCGGGGTGGACATGTGTTATAGCGGAGCGGGGACAAAGGCGGAACGAATTGAATAGTCTAGCCGTTCAATGTTTCTTAAATTTTGAACCTAGCAACAAACTACGCAGATTTCTGGACCAATCGCCAACCTTTCACCCCTCTCTTAAAAAAGTCAAAAGTGTCTATGACAATTTTTAGTGTCAAGAAAGTCGATGTGGTTTGAGGTCTGAGGGACAGTGTGCCATCAGAATTTGCTGTATTTTTTTTTTGAGAAGGGGGGGGGAGGTACTGGCTTCTAAACGATGTTTGTTGAAGTTCGAAAACAAGTATGCTCAGTTATATATTTAAGTCAATCGAGCCCTTTTCACTAGCGAAGGTTCTGTCAAGTTTGCGCAATTGTGTGACTCAAAAGCCCTTTGCACATATCCAATTCTGTGGTAATTGGGTAGACTGTCGTAAGTCAAGTTACCTTCCTTCTCACTCCTCACCTGCCATTCTAAGGTGAGAGGTAAGGAGGGTAACCTGACTTACGACAGTCTACCCAATTACCACAGAATTGACGACTGCAGACTTTTTCGATGCATAATTTGAACATCTACCTAGATAAAGGTCCTTGTGTCTGCGTTCGTCGGTCCATAGCCCACACCAAGCACGCGAAGCCCTTTAAGCCACATTGAAAATGTGGACTTGACGGATTTTTTTAACAGGCGGGCCGGCGACCTTGTGCCCGCAAAGAGGAGGGGGGGGGAGCGCCAGCACGCCCGGCCACGCCCCACACTGGAGAGAAGCAGATGAAGAATGGGGGTGAGAAACGCAAAGGCAGTTGGCGTGCGGGAAGTAGCGCCCGGCTCAGCATACAGCTGGTGACGTTTGACAGACGCAGCCGCCGCGCTGGAGCCGCGCTGGAGCTGCGCTGTATCTGGCCTGCAGCAGAGGATGCCTGCAGGAGGAGCGCCGGCCGCTGGAGTCGGCTGGAGTCGCTGGAGCGGGGCTGTCATCGTGAACACGCGGCCGGGTCCAGGCCGGGTCGGCGGCGGCCAGGCAGGGCATTCCTGCGGTGCGCTAGCTGCGCTAGACGCTAGACACGGCGCGGCTAGGCCAGGGCAAGATATGGCTAGGCTAAGAGCGCCTGCCTGCTGGCGGCCGCCCGCCTGCCGCCGGCCCGGTCCAACGGCACTCTGACCAATGCAGCAGTCCTAGCCTCGCCTAACGAACCACGATACGAGCGCGCGGCACGGCATAGGCAGGGCACGAGGTGTAGTGCGAGGCACGGGCAGGGCACGGACACGGGGTACGACACGCGCACGGCACAGCACGGGCACAGCACGGGCACAGCACGGGCACAGCACGGGCACAGCACGGGCACAGCACGGGCACAGCACGGGCACAGCACGG